GGGAAAGATCCAAACTAGAGGCCAAGCTTTGCTGGAACAGTATTTTATTCTCCCCTTCAATCTCTCCAGACTCTTACAAGAGTACTTTATGAGCAGTTCCATGAGCAGTTCCACAACTAACACAGTCCAGACACCACCTGCTTCTCCTGAATATTCTACCCAGGAAAAATCTTCTATTTTTCTAACCCCTGCTTATCATCTAGACATGAATCTGGAGAACCCTGTGGTACAACCATCCAGGTAGTAAGTATCATATCCATTTCTGAGCCAAAAATGATTACTGATCTACTGCAGAAGCATCTAACAGCATGCTTTCTTTGCTTTGAAAGAACAGCTTTCTCATACTAATGTACAACCAGGCTGATGCCATTAAACCTTGGATGAAGTTATTATCACAGTTAATGTTGCTGTGTTCCAGTCTAGTCAAGTCATGCAGAATTTTGCCTTTCACATTGTAAATGCCACGCACACCTTACTTTTGAAGGTGACTTCATTCCACAAAACCAGAGAGAATCTTGTATAAACAGAACTAGAGCACAGCTGTCTGTGGTAAGTTGCAAACATCTCTACTGCCGGAAGACCAACAGCCTGTTTAGCTAAAAAGTAACTTCAGAATAACCTCCTGTGCCTAGAACTGTGAAATCATTTATACAGTCACTTGCTCTCATATCAATGATATGCAGCAGGTGTCCTTTCCATCCTCTTCAAATCACACACGAATCTTTTCTAGGTGACTTCACCTGACTGAGAAAACAGCTCATCTGGCAATATAAAGGAATATTTTCTTTGAGAAAAAAGGACTGATTCTGAGTCTTGTCCCAAAACACCAAATTTCCACACAATTGAGACATTTTTCTAGAAAGCAGTGATATCTAGGTCAAATGTAATGCAATCATTTAATTTTACAGAGTCGACAGCTCCAAACGGCTAACTGTCAAAGTGAAACTACCAAACCAGACAATATCCTGCTTATTTGGAAAAAGAAACTTAAAATATGAGATAATAAAGTTCAAGGCCTCACCACCTGCCAAACTGAAACCAAAGATATGAAGCACTGTCCATTTACTACTCAAGGTTTTGAGCTATTCTGGAGCTGGGAGCTCCAGACATTTAAGGCAGATGTTCCACTTGGACATCAGATGTTCTAAATCTCCAAATTGAAGATACATCTTAAACTGTTAGAGACAGATCTCTCCTGCCTCTGTCACCCCAAAGGTCACAGAATTGACATTCACATGCTCTGTCACAGGTGTTAGTAGAAGAGGAAGCACAGATTTACCTAACCATGTTAAAACTGTGTCAGAGTGTTTGTGAAATGAGCCCAGACCTAGTCAAGTAGTCAGGAAAAGGCTAAGCAGCAAATAGGCCATTGCTGTAATAACTCATTCCTGCTTGGGCCACATCCATGGCAGAATCAACCCCTCCAGAGTGCAGCAGGCTTTCTCTATTTGCTGTGTCACAACTCTGGAAAACATCCTGGCAAGCACTGTCCAGGGACCCAAGCTACAGGGGAGAAAGGGAACATGAGGGGCCCAAACAGCAGTGCTCTGAGCCACAGTTACAGGTGGTATTTTGCATGATATTTCATCAAAAGGAGATATAAGTCAAAAGTTCAACTGTTCAACCTAAAAATTTTGTCAGAAAAAAAATTACTACTCCAAAGTAGCTTTGTGAGGGCTCAAAAATTCAAATGATGCTGCAGCTGTAACAGAATGTAACAGGAAGTGCTAGAGGACAAAATGAACCTGGTGTCACTATTTAACAACTCTGCTCTTCCATGAGCATCTACAAATCAGCCACAGGCCAGAACTCTGATGAGATACAGCAAATTTTCTAGAAGTCTCCTTTTCAACAATATCTCTAGAAAATGGTCTTTCCACAGCCTTATTTAAGGTGTCTAATTCATAATTCCTTTATAGGGAATACCAGCTAGGAGATTAAACCTATAAATTTAACTTATTTGTAGCCTATGAGAAGGCAACAATTAAAATGCTATATTTTAAATAGAAATTTTCCCCAAGTTTGGTAGTATAAACTTGTTAATGACATCATCCAGACAAGGTTACCAGTCTGTAGAACTTCCCTCTTCCCATTATCAGTTGAAAGCAGGAAAAAGCTGGGAAGAGGTCCTTGTCTTGCAATGAACCAGTGCACAAGAGAGTGGCTGCTCTGAGCACCATCCTGTACAATTCATGTGTGACTATACCCTGTGACTGACAGTCCCTTGCAGTCCTATTTCTTGGAAAGAGAGCACATGACAATAGACTAAGACCTCGTGTCCAACCTATGAGCATCATAATTACTTGGTGTGCCATAAACATTTTACAGTATATGATTTTGAAGCTATAACAAGGATTTCAGATGTCCACAAAAAACTTCCTACGGAGCTCACAGAGCTAGCATTAGTATTTGGTATGAAGTGATTACACCAGGGTCAGAGCAAGGATGTTTTTATTTAACAAACAGAATGCTACCATTGCTTAATTCACTTCTGGAACAATTAACTTAAACACTAAAACACAGAATGTTTTGGACTCCCACTTGTTGGACCAATGCTATGAAATCACTATCCGCCTTTATTCTTTAACATTATGTTTTTTCCTTTTTCATTGCATGTTTATTTATTATTATAGATTTTAAAGTAAATACTTTGTCATTAGAAGATTCAGCCATTTACTAATACCTGGTAGTTCAGTTTTTCTCAGTGATCTGCCAGATAATATTTTTGTAAACACACGTGAAGGCCTACAGCTTTGTCTAAACCATAGTGTGTTTATAGCTCCATATACAAAAGGAACAGCCTAAACATACACCTCCACTTTCTCTCTCAAGTCCATACCTTGTCAACCATGAGGAAGTTTTCTATTTTTTCTCCATCATTACAAGCAACATCTCCAGCTTCTCTAACCGCCTGAGGTAAAAGCTCCTTCACTTCCTGGGCTATTATGCCTGTTCACAAGATAACAAATTCAAGTCAGGAAACACAGTGGCATACCATTGACCGTGGTTGTGTCCTTTGACTTGCCCATCATAAAAGCTACAGGTAGGCCCAACAAATCTAGAATTTCTCTGCAATAGGAAAATCTTGGATTTCATTTTTAATTTTTTTTTTTTCCACAGAAAACAAACCGAAACCCTTACAATTCTCATTTTTCTGCAAAAAGAAAATAATTGTGATCATATACTCCATTCTCATTAAACTTCAGGAAAAATAATCTCCTGCCTTTAAAAGAATTAAACGGAATTGGAAAATTACCACAAATATTAATTCTGGCATTTTTATATCACTAGAGAAACACAACAAAGTGTGCAATTGTGATATCCTAAGAAACGAAGATGAAACAGCAGGGTGTTAAAAGGCACTATAGTACAACAAACAGTGGAACTTAATGAAAAAGAGGAACAGAACTGACTGAATACCTGTTTCATGGGTATTTTTTATTCCCATAACAGACGCAAATTCAGGCTTGTAATCATACTCCACCAGCCTCATTTGTGTTATTCTTCTCAGCTGCTCATTTGTATCGACCTAGATGGACAAAGACCAAGATTCACATGTTGAAACACTAAGAATGTCATGGTATCTAGGACATCACTGAGATAGCAACAAACCTGGCACAGCCCTTTCACCAATCTTCACATCAAAAATAGGGGACAATCTTCCTGTTCCCCACTAGCAGAGTGCTATTTGTGTTTGCACTGCCAGCTGCCTGCCAGCCTGCCAGCTCCCACGTATGCGGACTTCCCAGCTTCTCCAGGCAGCCTTTTCCACAGTCCACAGGCGACTGCTCCACAGCAAGCAGCGCTACCACGATTTCTTTAGGCCAGCATTTCAGCAGCCCCAGCATAAAGAAGCTGCTTCACGTGTCAGAACGATGACCCACACATGTGCTGCAGTGCAAGCATGAGTGCCCTAAATACTCCACAGCCCTCACCTCCCGGATATTCTGCTTTGCTCGGCTGTCAGATGGATGCATGACTCTGCCCATGACTTTTGCATTTCCACAGACAACCAGTGCTTCGTCTGGTGCATCTGTGTTAATTCCTACTCGACCATGATAGACTGTTGCCTCTGGAACGTGTCCTCGCTGCCACAGCACTTCACTGTCATTCTCAAACTGCCCTGGGTTAGATGCCTGGAAGAAAAAATTATGTTTAAAGATAGAGTCTTGCATACACGTACTATTGCTTATTCATTAGAAATTCAGGGAAAATCAAAAGCCAAATCTTTAATATTTAAATTGTACTGAAGAGTTTTTCTAACACACCAACGGGGAAAAAAAACAGAGTGGAGTCACATCGAAGTGTTTCTGCTAATGCAGCACTTGAAGCATTGCTTTTTCCTTTGAATTCTACTTTATTATCACCTTAAGCTAAACTGTCAATGTCCAAAGCTTTCTAAATTTTAACTTTATGCCACATATCCATTTGTTATTTAACAAGAAATTTTAACTGAGGCTGCAAATCAGAAAAGAGGAAACAAAACAGAGATTAAACATATGTGGTTCATAAAAACCTCTGTAATGTTTTAAATTAACTCATATTAGAATTTTATGTGAAGGAAACAGGGTCTTTCAGAGAACACCAACAAAACAGGTAATTTCTTTATAATCTTGTTTCTATGTTTAGAAAAAGCATTCAATTTTAACAATTAATTTTGTTTATTTTGAGTTTCAGCTTTAAAATCTCTGTCTGAATAGAAGTATGATCACGATGAAAAGTTCACACTCATTTAAAGAAGCCAGGCTTTCACAAGGTTTTGCCATCTGCAATGCATGGTGCTGTGCACTCACTACTGTTTGTCACAATTAGAGCATGATCTGATGTGCCTGATTGATAACCATGACTCAGCTGGCAATTTCGTTATGGTATTTTTGAGTATAAAGGGCCAGAACTTGAGTTGCTCTCTTGCAGTGCATTTGCACAGCTTTGACACTTTAAGGTAACCAGTAACTGGCTCACTGTACCCTACCACTGAAGCCCTGTCAGACATCTGGAAAATTACTTTTTTAAAATTTGTTTGTAAAATCTCATTCCCTGGATTTCTATTAAAAAATGTGTCTCTTGCACATCAAAGGAGCTCTCTTCGTTGAAATTTCAAAAGCATCTAACATTAAAAATGGTAGAAAACTGTAAATTTCTAAATGTTACATAAAAAGGTATATCTTACAGGATAACAATAAGCCCAAGGATGTATCTTAAAAAAAAATGAAAAATTCAACGGCTTTCCCAAATTAGTAAAGAGATTATATTTGTAACACTGCTAGATGCAGAAAGAAATTCAGGCAAAAGTGGTATTGTGGAAACTAATGGACAAAAAAGGAAAATAACTAAATATTCAGGAATGGTAGGAGAACAATGCCACAGTGTCCTGAAATACAAGAACCCACAGCAATGGCCAGGATGACAAAACGTTTTATCAGGGCAGGAAACTACTGAACTCCAAACACTGCTTTCAAAGTCACAGCTTCACCCAGAAAGAAGCTCTTGGCCATGCTGTCCTCCAGAAACCTAACCTTAACTGTAGGGGAAGGGTTTATGGCACAAAATGACACAAAGCTATGGTGCAGGCAAGAAGGAAGCCAGGACTGAAAGCATCTGAAAACCCTCATCTTCCTATGGCAGCCCCTGTGTAACACCACACATACTGGAGGTTTGTATTTCTGCTGTCTCCAAACCTGAATGCTAAACCAGGCTGTAATCATAAGCCTATAGGTAGCTCATGTGCTGCCACAAAAGGACCCAGGAATTGCCTAAAAGAAAATTCTGTCAGGACTAAAAGCTGTTAACCACCCTCACCTTCTTTAGGGGACCACTCCTGGCCCCACTTATTACACCAGAGCTCTTAGTCTTATTTGGCTCTAAAACAAAATACTAAGCCTATTCCTCACCATAAACCAAGGACTAGAAAGGCATCATGCAAACAAGAAGCTCCACATGAAAAAGTTCTCTGGACTGCAGTCTTCCAGACATCCTCACCATCTTCTGCAGCTCTGTCAGATGGCACCTCTGCATTTCCTGTCCTTCTAAGCCTTAAACATAATCTTCACCCTAGAAATAACCATAACCCTAGACTATGCCCAGTTCAAACATCAACCACCAGCTATTGGTCACATGAGAGCAGGACCAGGACCGAAAGCTTTTGGCAGCCCTCACCTTCCCTTGGCAGCCACACTCATGCTGAGGCTCTTTCCTAACCCTAACCCTCCATAGCTCCTGTTACAATAAAGCTCTGGGATTCCTCTTACTTCCAAGGCTAACTGTAGGCTAAAGGTGAAGGCTAAAAGGAAAATTTTATGAGAGGACAGAGACCAATTCTTCCTTCTATTTTGAAACCTGTATTACAACCACCAGATTAAGAGCTGGGCCACTCTGGAAACACACTGGAAAGGGGCAGTTATGGTTCTTAAGCATCCTAAAGCTGCTTGACCATCTTTCCTTGCATTTTTCTCCTTGTTCTCCTCCTTTGAAAATGAAGCATCTAGCTAATCAGAGTATTTACCAAATTCCTGGCAGTTATTTCACCTCAAAGAAAAAACAATCTGGAAAAAAAAACATATTTTGCATTGGAATTCACAACAAGGTTTCTTTTAAAATTCTTCTATGCCTCTACTTTTAACATTTTAAAAACCTAATAATTAAAAGATAACAAGATACAATATGCAACTGTAACTTTTTTTTTTCTCAATCTTTTTGAGTCAATGGTAATTTTTATGCTCAAGAATCATCCCTTCATGGTCTCCTGTGACTATCAGAACATTAAATGTCTTTCAAATGAAAGCAATATAAATTTCTACATACCCTCACAATGATCTTTTCAGAGACATTTGCAGACAGTAGGTAGAATTGGTCCTGGGAGACAGCATACAGTCCAACTACCAGCATGAAGTACCTAATTTGAAATTGATTTAATTAAGATAGTAAGTGAAGTAATGTCTTCTCACAGGAAAAAAATAAAATGTTTTAAATACAACCACTATATCAAAAGCTAGCCAGAACATTTTTAAAATTTACTTCTTACAATATCAAAGAAAAATTATTTCCTTCACTCTGACAGAAATGAATGCTATTCCAATCCCCACAATCATTAAAAATGTACAAATATTACAGTAACTTCAACCTAGTTAAGTAATGAAGACTCAAAAATTAAAACCCTTCTTTCCCCAGGAGAAAATTATTATTATTTGGGTTTTTTTGCTTCCTAATTTCATCAGCCATCATTCCGACTATGATTTCCTGAAATGATTTCTACCTACGAGGATGAGATATTTTCTCTTATTCTCACAGTATTCTGTGACTCTAGAAGAGAGGCCTTTAGGCAGATACCAAGCATTGCAGAATTTGAAATAATGTCACAGATTTGGCAACACTGAGCATTTTACAAATATCAGCTCCATTCTAAAGTAACCTTATCTTTTCCACTTCACAAACGCAAGCCCACTAGCTACAGCAATACCTCTGGTCAGGATTAGGCTTCCCCTTTTTTCTCATGTTATTTGCTGTCGTTTCACTGAAATGCAGCCTTCCAAGTGTTACTTTAGTTATCTGGTCACCTGGTAGATCAACTCTAAAATAGAAAAGGAAACAAGATCAGGGAAATAAGCATTTGGAGATCTACCTGACTTAAGATATTTCCTCAAACTCATTAAGTTTTGAGAAAAACCAACAAATTAAACAAACCTGGAGGAACACCAGTAAAAATGAAATAACTCTGGTTTATAAAAATGCATTAAAAAAACAGTGACTATGCCAAGGAAATAAACAGGATACAACACCAGCAGTTGGAAATTCTTCTTAGTAAAACAAGTCTTGTGTTTCTTGGTCTGTTTGTACACAACCTTGAACATAATAAAACAGTATACGTTCCATATAGTGGGTATTTGTTGCTTGCCATGGTTAACATTGTTCATTATTTGATCTGAATTTCCACATTTAAACAAATCAATTTTACTGCTTCTTTTTTTTTCACCTGCACCTAATTAGTATGTCCAGAAGTATAACATACCCAACCTAAGTCTCAAATACATGCTGGCACTCGTTCTCTAAGTGATAAAGAATATGAATAAAGAGTTTGCCTGGAGAAAACCACAGTCCATCAAACAGTCATCCGTGAAACAATTTACACTCACACACAGGATCTATTTGACAGTATCCAAAAGGAAGAAAAGTGACGTGGTAGAGGTAATTTAGTGAAAATTAAGCTTTTCTCGCAAGCTCAAAGTTAATTTTTGCAGATTACATATTGCAGCCTTTATCCCAGCACTGTCCTGTCAAACTTGGCACCATCTTATCTTTTTCTGTTGCAAGGCTTGTTTAATTATTTACAGAGAAGAGAACACCTCCACCAGAAGACACTTATGCTGGAGGAACAAACATTGATTCTGCCAGAGAGTTAAGATGCAGAACAATGACAGAGAATTCCAGGAAGAAGTTGCACATTTGATGCCATCAGAGGCACTCCCCTGTAAAATCTCATGCCCATGTAGAACAGGAACATTACTGACATTATTTAAGATGGGAAATGCATCTGCCATACAGCTCTGAACACCATACAACAGTGTTGATAGCTGAAGATAAATATTTTGGATAGGTATGCCTTACACATTTGTAAAGCTGATGAAACTTTTCCTTAATGAAGGAAGAGCAGTTATATATATTACTACTGTGATTCTATGTGTACATCCAGAATAGAATTTGGATAAAGCACAGAAACCCGGCTTAAACCTACTGTAAGTTTCAAAACAAATAAATACTTCACATTTCAGACCAATCAGATATTGAAATAAAATCGAATAAATTTCTCAAAATTCTTACTTAAAAGGATGGAAAGTTTTTTTGCTTCGATCTGACTGAGATTGTTCAACAGCAATTGTTTGATGTGGAGCTTCCACCTATAAAGAAAAATGAGTTTTAAAAAATGACAAGAATATTAAATTTTCCAACATATAAAATTCGAAATAGAAATTAATAGGCACATTGTGTCTAAAACATTGAAAACTCTCTTGTTTCTCAGGAAACTACATAGCAAGTAACATGGGAAATGACTCCTGATGCCAGCTGATACCTGACAGCTAGTCTGAAGCCTCAAATCACTCCGTGATATAACTTGAAGGGGGGGAGGGGGGGGAAGAAGAAGTCATGCATTAATTTGCACAAGAAAAATTGCTTTCTGAATCTAGACTGTTCTTGGCTCATTCCAAAACATAAATGTACGTATTTAACATGAGAAATGAACCTATGAACCTATGCAAGGTAGTTCTGTAAATTATTTTAATGTAAATTTCTGTACCTTTCTCGAATGTTACCAAGCAGCACTTTGCTTCAGATGGGAACAGATGACAGTGATATTCACTAATTTATTTTGCACTGGAATGCATTAAACAAAACTAGTAGCAATGTCCTTGCAAAATAGCTACGTGGATTTTTTTAAATCACTGAATTTTGGTACTAAGAAAAAAAAAAATTGTAAAACCTTTCAGAAAGGTTAAAATTTCTTATTATTTCTGTGTATGCAAGCTTGTGGACCCATATTGGCTGGGAAGAATTTGCTTCTTAAAATGAAAATGGAAAGCCTGGCAAGATGAAATGGGCAAATTTTGTGTGTTTGCTGCATGTGAACTGTTCAAGAAAACCAATTTTTTTTTTTCTTTGTGTTTCTTTCAACACATCTTTTTGACCAAGGGGTACACTGCCCACCTACACTCCAGCAGACACCCCTGCACTGCCCATGGAGGAAATAAAATTTCAGCCAAAGAGAGGGATGCCAGTGAAACTACAGCAAACAGGCAAACACGACATTTTTCAGCATATATATATGCACAAGCATGCATAAAACATCACTTTTTTTCAAGATATTTTCCACACAGAAGTCACTAGTAACTTAAAAGAGCTCTCTTTTGTCAGTTTTCAGTCAAAAGACTAAGAAAAAAGTTAATTTCTATTTATTTTCCTTATTCTACAGATAATCACATACTGACATTAAAAGCAATATCACAAAGAGGAGAAATACTTGCCTTTATTCCAAAAACTTTCAAGTAAAACTTTTCTATTGGTTTCCCCCCTAGCTGAGTTTTGACATATTTTGGATGTCCAGTGATTTTAATATGGACTGTGATTTGGAAATGATTCTTCTTCTGGCAAACAAAGGCGTCATCTGTTGTTGAAAAATTAAATCCTTTATCTGTGACAATGTGATATTCTACAGTGGGTCTACAAAAACAAGAAGAAAGGATAGCAACTTGAAGTACAGATGTATTTATGTGACACCTTGAGTTTGTATTTTTTATGTGGTCTGAAAATTCATCTGATTTTTACTGACAAAATGGGAGCTGAAACACATCTGTACAATCACCAGTTCTACTAGTATTTTCTTCTTAGCATATTAGAGGTGCCAAAATGAAACTGCATATAAATTTACTCTAATTCTAGTCTGACACATGAAATGTTTGGAAGCCAGAGGCAGAGATGCTTACATAATCCTCACTTACAAATCCGGTTTAAAAGGACTCTGTGCACCTAAAAGCACAACCAAACCTTTCAGAGTATTCAGGCATTCATTATAACATTGCTATGAAAAACAGCTGAATGAGTGCTGCAGACAAGAACGTGCTAATGAGCCAGCAAGACTCCCTACTTTGTTCCTGAATTCCCATATGAAGTGATTCTGCAGAAGCTGCTGGAATTCAAATAAAGCTTTACTGAAGCTTGAAGAAAAGCTGCCAATACTGACCCTTTGGCCAGATGACTGTAAAACTCTCCTTTATAATGTTGTCCATCCTACCCCAACTAAGGAAACCCTAACCTATTCATTCAAAGGGCTAATTTGTCACCCAAAAAGAAAAAGTAGCCTGTCCTTATGTTTCACAGCAAACAAAGTTATCAAAAGATCTTTCTAAAAGAGCCAGTGAACTCACCATCCCAACATTTTTTCCAGTCCTCTAAATCAGAGCATGGATAATTCTGAAATAATAGGACTACACGGCAAGGTTCTCTCATACAGGCATTGGCTTTTCTTGCTAATGAAAGTTTGATAGTGATGATCTCGTCTGATGCTACTGAGACCTCCCATTAACACAATAACTGAAGGCGTTTTTTCAGAACTCATCCATTCATTTGCACACTTAGTTGGAAAAATCAAAATGTACAGACTTTACAAGAAACATACAAGCTTTATTATCTTTTTATAAACTATTAACAAAAGGCCCCTTTAAAACAATCACTGATTATCAGGGAGAGGGAATAAAGAGAAAACTACTTTGTAACAACTTCAAAACAAACAGGGAACCTCAGTGTATCCAGGTCCCTTGAGTGCTTTTAGCAGGCTGGACTAGAGAAAAATTAAAATTTACTATGCTATTTAAGTCCTGCGGAGACAGTGACAAATTGCTTGCACTAAACCTTGGGAATAAACCAGACACTATAGAAGAGTTTTTGTTAAAAGGGATCATTCACTAAGTACTGGAATGGAAAAAAACAGGGATAAATTCACTTTGAAATGACCTTTACCAGATCATGTGGAAAAAAAATTATTTACAGTTCTGATTTATACAGGAAAACACTAAATCTTTGACTAAAGAGTTGTACACCATATATATATATATATATATCATAGAATCATAGAATCATAGGGGTTGGAAGGGACCTCGAAAGATCATCTAGTCCAACCCCCCTGCCAGAGCAGGGTCACCTAGAGTACATCACACAGGAAGGCAGCCAGGCGGGTTTTGAATGACTCCAGTGAAGGAGACTCCACAACCTCTCTGGGCAGCCTGTTCCAGTGCTCCGTCACCCTCACAGTGAAAAAATTTTTCCCGATATTCATCTTGAACCTCCTATGCTCCAATTTGCACCCATTACCCCTTGTCCTATCATAGGTCATCACTGAAAAAAGCTTAATCCCATCTTCCTGACACTCACCCTTTACATATTTGTAAACATTGGTGAGGTCACCCCTCAGTCTCCTTTTCTCCAGGCTAAAGAGACCCAGCTCCCTCAGCCTTTCCTCATAAGGGAGATGCTCCACTCCCCTAATCATCTTTGTAGCCCTACGCTGGACTCTCTCCAGCAGCTCCCTGTCCTTATATATATATATAGTGTACATGTCTATAGCTATTAAGCCTTATGTTACATGAACCTGAAGTACTACAGGTATCTATTTCCATTTTTCTTTTATGTTTTAGGCCATTAGAGGGAAAGGTGCCATATGCTCCATAATTACTTGCCCCAATGTACTTGACAAAACAAAAATTAACAGATATTTTAAGTTAAATTCATTTTTCTTTTGCCTCTAAATCCCTGAAGGGAAATCAGACAATCTGGCATGAATTTCAACCAGTGTTTAAAGTTCTGCTTATCTGATACATGTGCAGATTCATATTCCATCATGCCTCTTATACCGCCTTCTCCAGTCTTATTTTCAGTAAGAACAAGGGGTGCCAAATGAATAATTTATTCCTACAAAACCACAATACAAGCAAAACAAAACTCAATAAACCGCTTTTTCCAAGCGCAAACATCAATGCTTACAGTTTTTCATAATTTGAGTTAAATAAGCTGTGCCACTGAGAAGTTTGATATGGTTGCCATGTTAGAGCTTGACAGCATTTTTCCACAGCTGCATTCTGTCCATCACTGTCATATTCTTGCACTTCAGCTGCACAGCCCTGAACAATTGCTGCAGAGAGATAGTGGCAATTCAGTTATTGCTTTTGTGAGTAGCCAAAAATCCTGCATAATCGTATTTATAAATATATTTACATATATACATATATATAAAGCACAAATATGCTGCATATATATTTAAATCTCATCGTCCTTTGCAGTTATTCCAAAAGATTGCATCATATTCCCATGCCCTAGAAAATAAATTTTTCAGCTTTCCTGATGTGCAAAATACTATACAAGTAGAATTTCCTAAGTTTATTCTCACCAAAAGGATAGATAGTTTCCTCTGGGGGAAGGGAAAAATATTTTTCTTAAAAAAATAAAGGAAAGCTAAGCATTTTACTGTAAATCTGCAAAATTTGCAATACTGCAAGAAGAAATTAAGCAAAATAATTGCATATGTTTCCCATTCCCTCTCCTACAGGTTTAAACTGAATATACTCCAATTCACTGGTACTTTGTTTCAGAGCAGGAGGCACAGTTTTCCAATAGCAAGCACTTTCATCACTACATCTCATTGCCTGGCTAATGCTTTCAGAGATACATGTTTTATGAAGACAGAAGAGAATGTGATAAGACAGACAGATAAATGGAGTACAGTAAAGACAGGAGAAAACGTTATTTAGCATATAAACTAAGATACATCCAGCAGCAGCACAGTAAGAAAGAGCCTACAGAATCATTTCAGGCCCAATCTCCATTTGCAGTCTCCCACTTCTGACATCCAGCAGAGTGAAAACACAAGGGGGGGGAAAAAAAAAAAAAAAAAGAAAAGAAATTCACACCTCATTTCTAAATGATCCCCAAGCTGTTTTAACCAATTGCTGTGTTCTTTTTCCAATAGCATGTATCAGTTTTTCAGTGACTCCCAAGGAAAGGATACTTCAAAGCCATGTCATTATGTATTAAAAATAGCAATAGCAATTTCAGACACAGAAGTATCTGCTCATCCTCTCTTTCCAGCAATGGTAGACTTAGAGGATGAGTCACAATCAAGCAACCCTGATCAAATAGAAGATACCAAGGGAAAAGTAACCTGCTAAATCCAGTTGCTACTCATGAAAACTGTTGTAAAAGATTGGTTTAATGCTGAAAAGGAAATTAATCTGAAGAAATAACAACCAGCTCTCAGATTTTCCCATAACAGACAAGGGTGAAATTCCTCAGATAAACTGTTCATTCTGAATTGTTCATTCACAGAGAATCTCTCACTTCACAGAAGCTGATCCATTTCTGCACATGCCTGGTAAGCTGGTTTGGTATCATTTGGTATAAGCTCTGCATTTTTATCTTGATAAAACAATGAGCCAAATTATTTTGGGGAAGGCATGGGGAAGAACACACACTTGGATACACTTTGTGCAAAAAAATATGGAATTGAGATGATAAAGGGAAACTGCAATCTGTTTGCTCGTCCACCACATTAATACCCTGGTGAGCTGACCCAAGACAGTTTCTTTGCTCAGTCACTTTAGCGCCAAGCAAAGTCAGCAGGGTATGCTATCATCTGTAAACTCCAGGCTGATACTTGGAGAAGGGCAGAATATTTTGTCCAGAGAATCCTCAAACAACATGAAGCTGTAACGCTTATCATCTTTTTGCCAAATATAAATAGGTCCTGGTTTTCAAGACCACTGAAAATGTAAATTCCTCCAAACCTGGTCGCAGAGTACAGCCTGTTAATACCTGTTCAGACCCAGCAGGATCTGTGCTTTTAAAAATAACTACTTGTCTATATCATGAACCATTAAATTTCATCTTCACAGAGTTGCTCACCTTGTCTGGAGTCCCGAGACTGGGCTGGAGAATCAGTAGTATCTCCCAGTAATTGTGAGAGCTTCCTTTTTTTGCCTGACACTGCAGAAATACTTCTTGAAAAACACAAGTTGCATTACTCATGTATAAGTTTAAACACAGACATTACAGAATCATAACAAGAGAACACCCAGGTACCTCATTCTAACTGTATTGTCATCCAAATTCTGATTTACCAGGGTGAGGAGATTGTTGTTTGCTTTTTAAAACTTAATTACACAATTTTTCCTTCCAACACATAAATTAGGGGTTATTTTTTTATTACATATGAATTGAGAAGTTGGTTTCTTTTTAAAAATTTACACACTGCCTAAGTGGCAGGGTTTTACTGTTTCCTGATATTTACATTAAAATCACAGCTTTATTTTGAATAATTGTACTATACTGAGCGTGAACTCACTTTCCTTCTTATACAGAAAATGCTACTAGCAGTTAAACTAATGCATTAACTAAGAGATCTCAAGGGGCAACTGCTGGGTAACAGTTTTACCCTTTCCCAGAAAGTGAAATTTAAAAGAAAATTTCACAAGACTAACACTGATGAATTCTTGTTTCTCTCCCAATAACCAGAGAGGTCCCCCCCTGGCATGCAGCAGCCAATTCATTCTTAACCTGTATCATGGTTGGATGCTTGCACTGACCAGTGTTTTTTAAATAATTAATCATCCTCCACATGCCAGTGGGTGAATATGGCAGATGGTAGGTGAATACCACTGCACTTGCTACACAGATATGACAAGATTTCTTTATTTCCCTCATGCCACTTGTCAGAGCACTTACAAGATCCTTATGGACAAATCCTTAAAACAAGTATTGCAAAAGCCTGAATATCTCCATAATGCAGTTAAGGAGCACTTGTGGATCCCTCCTTAGTCTTCTAACGTTTTAAACACTGAAATCCATTTCTACTTCCAATGTGAACTTCAATCAAGATGTTTAAAGAACTCTCAATCACAACTGGCACAAAAATGTCTAAACACTGCCATCCTGTGGAAAATACTACACCCACAGGGATTTTACACCATGTCTTCTACCAGTGGTTTTGTTGGTTGTTTTTGTTTGGTTTTGGTTTTTTTTTTTCTGGTATCTGTCTCATCCTTTCCAAAAAAATTTTGCCATTTACCCAGAAATCTGAGATGTGTTTGGCTGAAAGTAAGAATAATTAAAACCCAAACAGTTGGAGGATGTAGAATGATTCCAGGGAGTCGCAGCATTTTCTGCCTTCAGGCAGCAGCCTTGGGGGATGGTGCAAGGATGGCCACTAGCACTGTGCTCAGAGTGAGTCTCCATGAACCTGCAGGGAAGCTTGCTGGGTGCCACAGACGGTGGGCATGGGGGCAGAGGCTGTAGCCCACTGGGCCTTGAAGTATCATACCATGGGTCTGCAAAAAGGAAACAGAGAAGAAAGTAAGAAGGAAGAGGAACTGGAGACCTTCCTACAAGCTTGGGAGAGGCTGAATTCATTTGACCTACTCTGGAGCTGTGGCGGAGAACACAGTTCTGATCCAGAGTCTGGTGGGGAGTCTGGCAGCTGGTTTTGCCTAGGGATGAAAAAGAGATTTTAATTTCTACTGAGAGGAGGCACAAAGAGTGACCACAAAGCGATGCTGAAAGCAGCTGGATGAGGACCACTAGGCTACTGACAAGGATCCTCAGAAGCATTGCTCACCACAGTTGCTGTTCCTTCCCACGGGAGCAATGTCACTTACACTTATCAAACCATCTCCTATCACTCTGAACCTCTCTCTCACACTCACCAGCTCTTGCA